CCACGATTTGGAAAAATAATAATGGGTACTGTGCATTGGACCACACTGACTTAGATCATAAATGGGTGTCCCATACATTGTCCTATACCTTTTTTTCAAAGAAAAGTCATGAAAAACAGCTTTGGGCTTTGAAGATAAGAACGAGTGAATATGAAAATTTTAATAATTTAATGATTAAATAATAAATTAAAAAATGATTATAAATTAATAATTGATTTAATAAATTTTGAAGCTATGTAGTAAAAGAGAATGGTTGCATAATCTACACGTCCCTTTTTTTTCCTTGTTTTTTATTTTTAATTTAATGGAGTAGGAGAATGAGATGATGATATTTGAATTTTTATCTTATATATTTTTTAATTATTAGATGAAAATTAAAGTATGTTTGTTTCTTATTTAAATGCCGAAGATGTAGCATATATAATATAACTATTATATTTCCCCTTATTTGCATGTACATTTTGCATGCATGAGGTATGCCAAGTTGGTCCAACCAACTCAATTAATAGGTATGGCAAGTCGGTCCAACCAACTCAATTAATAAGCTAAAAAAAAATTATGAAATGGCAATTTGTGAAAGTTTGGTCCAACCAACTCAATTAATAAGCTAAAAGAAAAATTATGAAATGGCAATTAGTGAAAGTTTGAACAAATTTAGACTTAGTTTAGTTGGGATTTTTGTTTTTTTTTTCTTTTTGATTAATAGTTATAAAGTAAAAATAAATGGTGAAAAGTAATTGAATAATTAATTTGGAATGGACAAATAATTATGATACATAATGCACTAATCGTAATTTTTTTTTTTTTTTTTTGTAAAAAATGTTGTTTAATATGTGATAAGTCATATGATCATATAACAATGAATATGTTTATTTGGTGATATATGTTTTATATGAATGTAATATTTGATTGTAATTATAATTTTTATTAATTATATATTTAGATAAGAAAAAGAAATTTATTAATTTAAAGGTACATAACTTAAAAACTTAAGTCCTGATTGATAAACGTTTATATAATTTTATTTGATTGAATTATTAGTTAGATGCCATATAGCCTTGTACCCTTTCGTTTTTTTTTTTTTTAGCCCATCAATTCTTTCAAAGAAAAGGCATGAAAAATCTTTGAGTAAAGATTCTCTCTCTAAAAATGTCTCAAATAATTTTGACTTATTCAAATTTGACCATCACACTCAATCAAAAATTTTTAACTTTTGCAAAGAAAAAACGTGAAAGATGGAAATTTCCATCTCATTTTCATGTAAAAAATAAGCACAGAATGTTAGAGAAAAGGTCCTCTCTACTAGTTGAAAAGTAATGAAAGTTTTTATTATTTTATTTAAGGGTTAATAATATATGCTCATCTAAATTTATGGTTGAAATTTAATGATTTTAAATTAAATATAAAAATAAATAAAAATTATTTAAACAAATATTAACTATTGATTTAGATGAATGTATATTACTAACCTTTAGATAAAATAGTAAAAACTTTCATTTTTTTTAAACAGGGGAGAGAATCATTTCTCAGAAAGTTCAATGCATTGCTTTGAAATTTCAAAGAAATTTTTTGGTTTAAATATTTTATTTGGAGTTCAAATTAATCAATAAATTAACACAATTATTAATTATTTCTTTGCACCTTTTTTGATTTTTTTATTTCCTAAAAATATATCATATTTTTTATCATTTAAATTTTTGTATTTTTTATATTTTAAAATATATTTTTATATTTTTTATTTTTAATATTAAAAATTATAAAATTTTAATTTTATAAAAAATTGAAACTTTAATATTAAATATATTAAAATCAAAATTTTTTCTTAAAATTTATATAAATCAATACAACTTGAACAATTTAAAATAGAAAAAGTATCTTTTAAATGATTTTATTGGTAATAAAAGTGAAAAAAATTAAATCTATTTATAATTAAGATATCAAAACTCACCTTTTTTTTTAGTTTTGTTCAGTTCAAAAATAGGGAACCAATTTGAAAATACAATAGTCATTGTGATTTTTTTCTCCTTCAATTTCATTTTGTATGTTTCTTACTGATTTTTTGGTTAAATAAATTTAATTTTAACAAAAATTTTAAAAATATTATATTAAATCAAAATTTTTAAAAATTTTTGAAATTCAACTTTATAATTTTTAATAAAAATAATCAAAATCGAGTTAATTTGATTAAAATATCAATAAAAAAAAACAAAATGGAATGAGAAAAATATATTATAGAAGATAACGAAATACCTTACACGGTTAACGTTCAACATATTTCAATTATTGTAGTTTACCAGTTGCCACGTGTATTTTTATTCCTTTCTCACCCATGTACTTGAGCTTACAATAAAACTTGTTGGAATTATATAAATAGGTTGTTGTAATACAAAATTTGAATTTGTTTTTTGTTACATTATAAGGACAAAGTTTTAATATAAATAAAAGGGAGGGAGGAGATTTTGTTTGAAATCAGACTCTTGATATCTTCTTTAAATATCTTTAATCACTAAATCAAAAGTTTGGGGACACAAAATTTGAATTTAAATTTAGTATAATTTATACAAGTTATATCTTTCTACAAGTTAAATTTTTTATATTGCTTCCATAATTAACAAATTAGTTATTCTTTATTAAATTTATTGATGTGATAATTAATTTTATTAATGTGATAATTTAGATGAATAAAATTGATTATTAAATTATATAAATAATTTTGTACTAATATAAAATTTTAATTCTAATCCATTAAACATAATTTATAATAATTTTATCCTTATATAAATTAAAGTTTTAATAATATTAATATAATTATCAATATTGTTAATCAATATTTATTAATTATATTGATGTAATCATTATCTTTATTGACATGATAATTTGAATAAACGAAATATATTTATTTTCGTTGATGTGGTATTTTTTTTTCTAGAAAATTGATACCGTTTCAAAGGGGACCAATCACTTTGTAACTAAAAAAATTCTAATTTACAAATATTAATATTAATATACGTACCAAAACATACAAGAAAATCAGTACTTTAAAAAAGTTTGTGTGAGTGAATAATACTTAATATGTAATTAGTGCGAGGCATGAATGAATTTTGCACCAAAAACAAAATAGAAGGCCCTCCCCTCTGCCTTTCTCAGACAGCTATTGATGTTAGGAAAAATATTTAAAGTTATTTTCATTTTTATTTCTTTTTTTATTTGAATTCAGAGTGCTCGAGTCACTATCTTCATTTTTTAAATTTTATATTTCCAATTCAAATGTCTAGGATTAAGAGAAAGATTGGATAATGTAAAATATTATATAGTGATATGATATAAAGAAAATTAAAATAAATTTAAAATTTTAATAATAATTATATAAATTTAATAAAATAAAATAAAAAATTAATTTTTTAAAAAAAGTGAACAAGAAATAAAATTGTGAAAGACAAATATTGATTTGCACGACAGATGTAAGTTATAGACTAAGATATTTATGTATACTTCTAAATTGAAGGATAAAAAAATATAAAAGTTTATTTTTTAATCACTTTTAAAATTTTTTTGAAAATTTTAAATTTATGATTTTTTATTAAATAATTGTTTAATTACATACATCATTAGTTTACAAGCAGAATTTTGAGTAGAGGTCATTCAACAGCTGATCATTGAGCTGGATACACTTGAGGCAATTCAATTTTTTTAACATAGTGGCAATTCAATGTTTAATGTAAAAATTAAAAAATTAATTATTGTACTAAATTATTTATGATAAAACAATCAATTATCCTATTTAATTTTTTATTATATTCAATTTTTTTATTATCATTATATTTACATTCAAATATATATTATTAAATTTAATATGATTATTATAATATCAAATCTCATAATTATAATAATTAATTAATAAATTTTATTATTGTTTTTAATTTTATCTAAGTGGGGGTTTAGATGCATAAGCACCTCCAATAAGGTGTAGTTAAATTTTAATTACTATCAATTAAATTTAAATGTCAATTATAGTGATATTTATTCAATATAAATTTTTTATTAAATTTTTTTAATCGCAACTACAATAACTTTTTCTTTCAATTGCAATTATAATAATTTTTTATTATTTTTAATTTTATCAAAATTAATCTTACAGTCTATCTAAATATACAATAAATCACATATCCAAATGGATTAAGCTACTATTGCTAGGAAAAAATATTCAAAATTACTTTTGTTCTTATCTGATTTTTTTTTTTTAATTTTCTTTTATCTGAATTCAAAGTTACTAACTGGTGGCTAACGAGTGCTTAAGTCATCTTTTATCCTTCCACTTCATATGTCCAAAGACCCAAGAGGTTAGGGAGGACAAGCCATGACCTTTATATTTTCAGCACAATAATGTGAAATCAGATATGTATGCTTAAGCATGGGGAAAAAAAAAAAAAACAAGTATTTGACAGTTCTTATAGAAAATAAGGGATCATGTGTAACCATAAATTTGTGCTATTTGTTATCATTTGTGCTCTCATATCTAAGGAACACAGAATGTTCTTCCTAATTAGATCAAATATATGCCTTAGCCAAGTCTTCAGTGGCAACTGGTCAATTTAAATCTTTGAGGGGAGTTAATACCATCAAACCATCTCAAGTCTCACATCAATCCCGTCTTAATTAGAACATCACTGGTGATATCAATCTTAGGACTTTGATTTTGAGAAACTACTTTTTGATACATCTTAAGAGAAAATTAATTATTTTTATATGCTGCAATCATGCTTTCTTTTTGGTAGACTTTAGATGAAAATTTCATGTACATATTTAGGGTTTGTTCACTTTTTTTACCCGCAATTTTCCGGTAAAAGAAAATATGATCCATTCACAAGCTCTTGTACTTTCTTTATTTTCTGGATTCAATCTTTTCTTTGTTGCAAGTTGCAATTTCCTTTTCCCATTAGCCTATGAATAATCAACACATCAAAAGCCACCATTCAGACAGGAAATAACTTTGGCACCCAAAGCATATAAAACAGTATGGCCTACAAACTTCTTTTTTTTCTACGCGTCTCTTTTGCTTGGATGATGACATAAGATTCTTTTATCTTTCATTGAAAGTGAGGTGGGGTATCATTGCAACGTTCAAGGAAAGTTCATTAGCACAACGCTTTCATTGAAAGTGAATAAAGCCTTGCCCTTCACCACAACGCTGTGTTCATCTTTCATCCTCGCCCAATTTCACTGTTTGTTGTTTGCAATCACTTCCTTTTTTTTAATCTTCTTCAAATCCTTCCCTTGCAAAAAAAAAAAAAAAAAACCTTCCCCTTCAAATCCTTTCACTTGAGTTTTAGCACCCTTCTTCTTTCCATTTTTTGCATTCACTTCCTTTGATCTTCTTCAAATTTCCTTGTAAAAAAAAAAAAAAAGAAAAAGAAAAAACATGGCTGGGGCTTTGGTGGGTGGAGCTGTTCTCTCTGCTTCCCTCCAAGTTATTGTCGACAGGTTGGCTTCTCGTGAGATCTTGGACTTCATTAGAGGAAAGAAACTTGAAGATGGCCTTCTTAAGAAACTGAAGCTAAAGCTCATGTCATCTTATGCAGTGCTGGAATATGCTGAAAATGAGCCTATTAGCAACCAGCCTGTCAAACTCTTGATTGATGAGCTCAAAGATGCTGTTTATTGTGTGGAGGACCTCCTCGATGAGATCGCTGCTGAAGCTCTTCGAAGTAGGATGGAATCTGAGGGTCAAACTAGTATGGCAACGAAGGTAACCCGCTTTTTCTCTTCTCGCAATCCGTTCGAAGAAGGGATGGAGTCAAAGCTTGGGAAGATCCTTGAGCAACTAGAATATCTACACAACCAAGTGTGTATCCGCGGTTTGAAAGAATATTGTAGAGGAGAAAAGAAATTTCAAAGATCCTGTGAAACTTCTTTGGTTGATGTATCTGGTGTTTTTTATGGCAGAGATGGTGAAAAAGAAGCAATAATGAAGTTGTTGCACCCAGAAAATCTAACTGAAAATCAGATAGATGTCATTCCAATAGTGGGTATGCCCGGGGTTGGTAAAACCACCCTTGCACGATTCATCTACAATGACGAGAGAGTGAAGGAATGGTTTGACCTCAAGGCATGGGTGTGTATTTCAGACCAATTTGATGTTTTCAAAGTAACCAAAGCCATTCTTGATGAGATTACTTCTGGTTGCGATGATAGTGAGAATCTAGACCAGCTTCAACTTAGACTAAAGGAGAAGCTGTTGGGAAAGAAGTTTCTATTTATTTTAGACGATGTTTGGAACGAGAATTATGCAGACTGGGACGATCTGACAAGACCTTTCACTTCTGGGGCACGAAACAGCAAGATAATCGTAACAACACGTAATGAAAGGGTTGCATCCATTATGAAGACTGTTCAAACTTGTCCTCTTGGCATCTTATCTGATGATGATTGTTGGAAGATATTTGCAAAACATGCACTTGTTGATGGAATTCCAAGCAGGCATCGATGTCGGAAGGTAATCCGTGAAGCCATTGCCAACAGATGCAAAGGCCTCCCTCTAGCAGCCAAAACACTTGGAGGTCTTCTGCGTTGTAAAGATGCTGATGAATGGAATGAAATATTAGACAGCGATTTGTGGGACAAACTAGAAAAGGAAGGTAGTACTATTCCTTCATCTTTGAGATTAAGTTATTATTATCTTGCTTCACATTTGAAGCGCTGCTTTGCATATTGCTCCATTTTCCCTAAAGATTATGAATTCAGAAAGGAAGAACTCATTCTACTATGGATGGCTGAAGGTCTTCTACAAATTTTCAAAAAAGATGGCAACGCGGAAGGTAACAAGTACTTTAAAGATTTAGCATCCAGGTCATTTTTCCAACAATCAGCAAGAGACAAATCTTGCTTTGTCATGCATGACCTAATCAGTGACTTAGCTAAATCTATATCTGGAGAATTTTTTTGCAGATTGGAAAGTAGAGGTGATTCATGTGAAATAACTAAAAAGACTCGTCATTTGGCCAATATCCAAGGAAAGTATGATGTGGCTAAGAAATTTAAGACATTATCCAAAGCAAAAAGTTTGCGAACATTCTTGACTTTGCAGTCATCTCCATTCGTTTGTTTTGTTACCAGCCAAATGCTTGATTTGATAACAAAATGTAAATGCTTACGAGTACTTTCTTTGGCTAAATATCGAAATATCAATGAGTTGCCAGAAGAAATCGACAACTTAAAATATTTGCGATATTTGAATCTTTCCAAAACTTCAATTAAATGTTTGCCAAACTCTTTGAGTACATTGTATTATTTGCAAACATTAATATTGTTTGAATGCTTCCGGCTTGTTGAGTTGCCGAAAGACATGTGTAGATTGATCAACTTGCAACATCTGGATATTAGGCGCACAAGGTTAGCAAGGATGCCTGAAGGAATGGATAAGTTGAAAGATCTTCGAACATTAACAGATTTTGTTTTGGGCGAGCAAAATGGTTCAAGCATTAATGAGTTAGGAAAGCTCAAGCATCTACGCGGAAGACTTGCCATTTCACGTTTAGAAAATGTTGCCTGTGCAAGGGATGCCAAAGATGCCAATTTGAAGAAAAAGAAGAACCTTAAGGAGTTGGAGTTGCTATGGAGTTCTGATCATGATACTGATGATACAAGGCATCTCAGAGAAGTACTTCAACAACTGGAGCCCCGTAAAAAGTTGACGCGTCTTGTCATTAGTTGTTACGGAGGTACAAAATTCCCGGAATGGATCGGACATTCTTCCTTCACAAAAGTAGTATCTGTGGAGTTAAGCGGTTGTAAATATTGCTTGTTCTTGCCACCGCTTGGGCAATTATCATCTTTGAAATCTCTCTCTATTTCAGGGTTTCTCGAAGTAGCAACAGTCGGTGACGACAACGATGGTTTCTACGGGCATTGTGATGCATCGAGTAAACCATTTGGATCTCTTAAAACTCTAAGCTTTTCGAAAATGCCAGAGTGGAAAGAATGGAAGCTTTGTTCGAGAGATGATGCTTTCTCTAGTTTGCAAGAGCTAAGTATAAGAGATTGTCCCAAGCTAACCAATTCTCTGCCCAAGCACCTCCCATCTTTAAGGAAACTTTGGATTGCCTGTTGTGGAAATCTTGGTGGCTTGCTTCCTGAGGCACCACGCATTCGCGAACTTGAGCTAGGGGATTGCGATGCATTGCAATTGGTGCCATTGCCTTGTGGGCTTCGAGAGTTGCGAATTTGCAATCGGATTATCAATGATTCCATAATGGAGCAGATGATGGAACACTGCACTCGCCTTGAAAAGTTGAATATGTTGAATTGCTCTAATCTCAGATCCCTTCCTGAAGGTAGACTTCCTATCATGCTAAAGCAACTGAGAATAGCGGGTGGTGTCTTGGGTTGTTTCAAAATCCCCTTGTTTACATCTCTTGAATCCTTGGAGATAGTAGACGGAAGGTGTCATCCCCTAGAATCTTTTCCATTGGGACCATTTCCTATGCTAAAACTTCTTTCTTTTTCGACATGTGACGACTTGAGGTGGATAGGTGCATCAAAGGGGCCTTGCTGCCAGCATCTCGCATGTCTCAATTCTTTACTAATCAATAGATGCCCTAATTTGATATCTTTTCAAATTGAAGAGGGATTATCTGCCACCAATTTAAGGAGAATTGTGCTTTCAGATTGCGAAAATTTAAAGTCATTTCCAGAGCATATGCACTCCCTCTTCCCGTCCCTTAAGGAATTGGAAATAATAGATTGTCCAGAAATAGAGTCATTTCCAAGAGAGGGTTTGCCCTCCAAATTAAAACAGATTTATATCATACGAAGTGAAAAGCTGATTGCGGGCATGATGAGGAGGGAATGGAGTTTGCAAACACTCCTTTCACTTACACGCTTCGAAATCCTGAGTGAAAAATCAGAGATAGAGTGTTTTCCAGATGAACATCTGCTGCCCTCTTCTCTTATCCATCTTGCATTATTTAAATTTCCAAATCTTAAGCTTTTGGACGGTAAGGGCTTTCAACACCTCACCTCTCTCCGCAAATTGCAGATCGAACAATGTCCAACACTCCAATCCATGCCGGTAAAGGGGCTTCCTGACTCTCTTTCTCATATTTGCATTTACGATTGTCCTTTGCTGAGAGAATGTTGCGAGAAGGGGAAAGGTAAAGATTGGCCCATCATTTCCCACATCCCTGTCATTTGGATTGACGATGAGGTCATTCTATAGCAATACTCAGAAGCCAAATGTGTCAACGTGTCCCTTTGCCATTATTAACACAATCTAAGGGTCAGGTACTCCTTCCATTTTCATTTTATTTCACTACTTATTTTACTTATTTATTTATTCATTTATTCATTTTTCTTTAAAAAATTCTTAATTCATTGAAGTTTATGGACTGTTTTCTTTTTTTTTTTTTCTTGAATTCTAATGCCAAATTCCTCATTACTTTTATGATATGTTGACTATTGCTTAATTTGTTTCAAAATCTTTTATAGTCTTCCTCGATTCTTTTGTTTTTTTTGTTTTTTTTAAGAATCAGTTACAAATTCCGGTTTATGATTCTCATTCAAATGAAGTTCTCTGTTGTATGATTTGCTTTAGTCTGGAGATTAATGGCCTCATTTTTCGATCGCAGAATTATCTGCATGAAAGTTTTCAATACTTGAATGGATTGGCATCAAGCTCTGCATACTTCATTTGAAATTTGGGTTTCCTGGAGCTGCTATGTTGATGTGCTCAGATTTGACGTCAATAAAGAATAAATATTGCAACATCTTCCTTCTCTTGTCGCGAAATCAGTGGCAACCATATTCTTTAATCAGACCAGAAGCACTGTCTTGGTTATCAAGATGATTCATTCAGTCCAAGGACTGTTCCTTTTGAAAGAACTCTTAGTTTGAAGGTTTCCCGTAGTAGTAACTGTGGATCCTAACTTCCATAGGTATGTTCTTTGAGCAACTAAGCCATCGATTCCATAAAATTTTAGATTTCATTTGGAAATCTCCATTTGAGAAGATGGATTCGAATTTCAAATGCAGTAGAAATTATGTGGGAATGCTTATAAATACATGACCTATATAATTCTATTTAAATACATAGATTTGGTAAATCTCTCTTGAATGGTGAATTCTGGATACATCTTTCTATACTCTCTTAAATGTAATGACTGCAATCATCCTTAGAAAATGAACAAAAAATCAAATTTATAATTCAGTCTCTCAAATACTTGTTTCCAAGTGAAAACATTAAGGTTTTATCAAGTCCTAAAATGGCAGGAATGGCTTTTTTCTGAAGACAATTAAGAATGTGGGGCATTCTCTCATGTTGTAGAATGTTAATGTCATATGTTAATCGATATCTTGCCCTTTCATTGGAACTTGAGAATAATGGAGGGGGACAAGTTGTGGGATGATTTCGGATTGCAGCAATCCATGAACTGGAGTTAGCTGAATTTGATTTGTTGCCTTTTGAGCGACTGCTTTGTGGTCTGCGCAAGGTGAAAATTACAGATTGCAATACTCCCAGCTCAAGGAACTAGTATAGTGTCATTCCATTGAAGAGGTGGATAGCTCCATAATTCACTCTACGCTAGCTTTCAATTGTTCAGTTGTCACTGAGGTGCAGTATTTCTCTATTCTTATGTAACAAATTTATAATTTATTTAACTGATGTTCTTCAATCTTCATAGAGAGAGAAAAAGGTACTTGTTGAGTATGCTTTGGGGTAGAACAAATCAAATATTGCAAATGATTTTGTGGTGTATTTATTCACTTCATGCACAAGTAATTTAAATATTGATGATTTTGCTTTCAGATGGAATCAAAACTACAACTGATATTTAATATATGACAGATTGCTTTACTTTTACAGGCTACCGTCACCCTTGCTACTTCTGAGATTTGTTGCAAATACCAATTGATGATTTCCATCAAATTGAAGTTATTCCGTAAGTTGCCTTAGGCTGGAGGTGCGATAGGTCATTTTTCTATCCCAAAATTATCTGCATGATAGTTTTTTATGGTTTGACAGTTTTGCATCAATCTCTGCATAGTTCATTCAAATTTGGATTTCCTGGAACGGCAGTGCCGATGTGCATAGATTTAAAGTCAATAAAGAAAAATGACGTTTGCTCCCTCATTCTCTTGTACAGTATGAAATCATTGACTACCATATTCTCTAGTTCGTACCAGAAGTCCTGTCTTCCTTTCCATGATTCATTCAGTTCAAGGACTACTCGAACAACGTGAACAGCTGCTCCTCTTAAAAGATTTCTCCACTTGAGGGTTTTCCTGGGTAGCAAGTAGGGATCCTAACCTTAGCAACTAAGCCGTCTAATTTCACGAAACTTTATGTTGCATTTGTATATTTACATTTTAGAAGATGAATTTGGATTTCAAATGTAGTAGAAATTATGCAGTAATACTGGTGAATCTATGAGTTGTATAATTACATTCAAATATATGGATTTATAGAATGACTGAAAGTAATGAATTTAAAATACCTAGATAACAAAGTGGATTCCAAATGCATCCTTTTATACTCCCTCAGATGTAATGACTACACTAATCCTCGAAAAACTGACAAACAAATCAAATTCAATTTCACCCTCTCAAATACTTGTTTCGAAATAACAAAGTAGTAAGTCTATGCTTTGTGCTGGTTCACTCTATAAACATATGCTTCGTTTTGTGTCATTAGGCCCACAACTAGTCCCAAATCGTGTCTCAACACTTGCTGTTTATTTTCTCTCTTTAAATTCTTAATAGCTAATTAAATTGTATTTCACCTCACTCTTAACAGATATTCAATCTAGTATATTCTTCTTTTGGTCTTCCACTAAACAACCTACAGGCCTACAACAAATCAAATGCAGGTATCTTGTGCCACTTACTTTTTTTTTATTATCAAATTTGTGGAGGTTCTTTTAAAAACTTTTATACTAGTTTGAAATTGAAAAGCTATGGCAACTAGGTTAAGCCATTTATACACAGTTTATATTTATTAGAAGAAATTTTGTAACTTGCACCAATACCTTTGTGGTTGCTGTAATGAAGTCAAGTACAACTAAGGCCAACATTGATGCTTCTCTACTTTGTGACTAGTGATCTTCAATTGCAGTGCTTACTGTTCCAGGCTGTCATTATTTGAGCAATGCCTCATCACTTACCTCCTGTTTCTTCTGAAATTCTGTTGCAAATTTGAGTTGATTCTTTTCATTTAGTTGAATATGTGTTTTTCCTCTTATTTGACAGCCTTTTGAATCCAATTCCTTCTTAACCTGGTTAACTATAAAATGTGTTTAGTTTTATGATTTTTTCCAGCAAGAGATTGAGTCTGGAAGAGAAAGAAGAACTCGATTTTGGGTAAGAGGTTGTACTTTGAGAGTGAAAATGAGGAAACTGAAGGGAAAGTGTTTAACGGACACAAAGGAGAAGATGATGGAAATGTATCTAATGCTTCTGATTCTTCAGCTGAAAACCAGCAGCAGAACAATCCCACTTCCTGCGACACTTCATGGCCTCTAAGCTACAGGTCATTTCTCTTTCATATGCTTACATGATTGTACTGCTGCTTTACCTCTCTCTGCTTTCTTCTATGCACTTTCTTAAGTTAAGTTTCATAACAGCGTGGATTTTTGTTCTTTTCTTCAAAGATTGTTTTAGTTAATCTTCAAGAGCTAAGATAAGAAACAACCACTAAAAAATTTTTAATAGTTACTTTTCTCTTTCAAGGGTAGAAATTTTTTTTAATATCATTACTTTGATTTGCTATTCTTGACGAGGAATAGATTGTTTATTTGGTATAAGGGATGGTGTATAGAAGAGTATAAAAAGAAAGGAAAGTATGGATAGACTTAAGCATATATTTAGAAAGGGAAAAAGTACTTAAACTATGATTGATGCATTTGTGATAACAATAACGGATTAAACTATGATTGATGGATTTGTGATAACAACAACGGATTAATGTTGTGTAAAATTTTGTAGAGGAGAAGCTTCTCTATGACAATTTGGCCTACAAATCCATCTCCAATTATTGAATTATTTTACCCTGTTAATATTGGAAGTATGAATCTTATATGGGCTCTAGTAGAGATGGACTATTTAAGTTGGTTGATGATTTGGTATTTCTCATATAATTTGGATTATTCAATTGTTCTTAATTCTGCTTCTGGAACCTTTAAGATATATTTTCTTCAGGCATGCAAATAGTAGCATATTCTGGTATACAAAATTTTGCCAAATTTGTGTAAGTTGAAAAGTCCTGAATTCAAAGTAAACTTATATTGTTTCTGTAGAAGGGGATGTGACATTAGCAAATGTTATAGAACCTTTAATCTGTGTAGTATTAGACAGTTGAATCAAGAGAAAAAGGTGATATTTAGTCACTTCTTTTAGGCAGTGCTTCCACTTATAGCTTCAAATGCTATTGGCCTTTGTTAATTTTTCTGTCAATCTATTGATCTGTATAGTAGTGTACCATCTTCACGGTAGTGTACCGTCTCTGAATATCAGGTTTTTGGGCACTCCTGCATCTTCAAGTTTAGGTAGTTTGTTTCTTTCCTCATCGCCTCAAAGGCATCGCTACTACCAACAGTAGATGATCAAATATAGCCTCAAAGACATAGTTTGCACTCTCTGTTACCTCCAAACCATCAAGTAGACAATCTTGGAGAGTAGATGAGAAAACATCTTAGGTCTCCTATGGACATCCAGAGCTCATATGGGCTAGCTGGGTTAAATTTTACATAACTTTTGTCCATTACCTAAATTTTATCTGTCATCTGGTTACATAATAAGTTGTTATATTGAATCTGTCTCACAAGATTTGTAGATGTGGAAAAACTAAGAAATAAAATTATGTGAAAAATCAAAAGTAAATTGAATGTATATTAAAAAACTGCTTATAAAGAATTATACAAACACTTTAGGTTTATATACAACTAACTAATAGATAAATTATGAAACTAAATCTTCATAAAATTGATCCTATAATTGATAGATTGTCTATCCTAATTTTTGTTCTTAATTTTAGAGATACAAATATTTAATTTTAAACATACAAATATAAATATACAGATTACAAAATTATAACTGGCTGTGCATGGCAACTCTGACCCACTCATAAATCCTTCCAAATTGATGGCTTACATTCAGGCTTGGCTTGTGCAAATATTGATGCTTCCACTAATTTGAGAAAATTAATATCATAATGCAAGGATTGACTTGCGCATTTCCACTTTCAGTTAGAATTAGATCTACAACTGATGCTTAATTTGTGTCAAATATTTTTACAGCCTCCCATCACCATAATTCTGAGTGTTGGTTGCAAATCCTAATTGATGATTTCCATCCAAATGAAATTCCTCTTGCATGAGTGCCTTAGCGTGGAGCTACAAGAGCTCATTTTTCTATCCCAAAATTACAAGAGCTCAGTTTTTGATGGTTCGACAGCTTTGCATCAAGCTCCACTTCATTTCAAATTTGGATTTCTTAGCGCAGGGGCAACAATGTGCACAGTTTCAAATCATTGAAGGAAAACTTCTTTTACTCCTGTCTCCTGTATTGCACGAAATCAGCGACTACCATATTCTCTAGGGTATACCAGCAAAACCATCTTCCTTTCCTTGATTCATTCAGTTCAAGGACTATTCAAGCAAGTAGGACTACTGCTCCTTTGGAAAGATCTCCCAATTTGAGGTTTTTCTGAGTACTAATCGTGGACATGGGTAAGTTCTTTTAGCAACTATGCCATTTAGATTGCATGAAATTTTTTATTCAATTTGAAATTCCTCTTTAAGAAGTTGGATTTGGATTTTACATGATGTAGAAATTATGTGGTAGTACTCATTAATAAGTGAGTCATATAATTACACTTAAATACATGGATTTATAGAATGATTCAAGTGTTGAATTTAAACTACCTAGATAAAAAAGTGAATTCCAATTGCATCCTTTTATACTCTTTCAAATGTAATGACTACCTCATCCTCACAAAAATGAAAAACCAATCAAATACACCCTCTCAAATACTTGTTTCAAAAGGAAGCATTAATATTTTAACATATCTTGAATTGGCAGGAACTAGGTTTTTCTGAAGAGAATGAGGAATGTGGGGGCATTCTCTCAGCTTGGAGAACTTTACTAAGATTGTCCTAAGCTAATCGACATCTTGCCCTTTCGATGAAACTTGAGAATAGTGAAGGGGGACAGTTTGTAGATTACCTTCCAGTTACAGTAATCCATGAATTGGAGTTGGTAGAATTTGATTCCTTGGATTTTGAGGGAAAATTAGAGATTGCAACCTCCCAGCTCAAGGAACTAGTATCATGTCATTCCTATGACAAGATGGATTGTTCCCTAATTAACTCTGGTAATTTTGTGCACTCCTTGTTCTTTGTGTTAATCATCTTTCTTTGTTTTATTTCTGCATCATTTTTCAGTTTTTCCCAACTTAATGTCCCTTTCGTTTACTGCACCTTCCGCTCAAGAATTTTTTCCAGGCTTTTTATCCAACTAAACAGTTCAAGAAATGGAAGCTATATTTTCAGATATGACAAAAAACAGGTAGTTTTTTTTTTTTTTTTTCATTTCTTCAATTCCAGCTTACTAGTGGATTAAGAAATTTATCTGTCAATAATTCATTATTATACATCACTGACACAGCATTTCTGTTCATATGCATCCCTGTGTTAACATGTGAATATTGTCCTCTGCTTCATGAGAATTCGGACCTCTAGTCTTTTTCACTTCTAAATTCATCTGATATACTTGCATGACTTTATAGGATGTTAATTATTTGTTCCATTATATGTCATAAATGGAAAAGAAGGTGCATTAGACATCGGTTACCTGAAATGATAAAGGCAATGATTGGTGTTAAGTGCTTGAATAAGAAGCATTTGTTGTTGTCAAAACGGAGAAAATACTGTATGTTCTGTTTCTTGATTGGAATACCATATTTGGTTTTCTGGGTACTGATCATTGCTGTCATTTATCTCATGATATTTTACCAAGTCATTTGTCCATGTGTTCTTGCCAAATTTTAGGTTTTTTTTCCAACAATCTTGTGTTAGAAACTGTGATCCACAAGCATGGAAATCAACCTCAAAATTCTTGTAATCTTTCTGAATGTTTGCTTGCCTGTTTTGGTTAACGCATTCATTGTACTGCTCCAACCTAAAAAGTCTAAGAAAGAGAAGCTTTATTTTCAGAAATGACGAAAACCAGGTAGCTTTTCTTTCTTTCATTTTCCTTTTAATGCCAGCTTCTGTGATGGATCAAGAAATTTATCTGTAAACAATTGATTATTATACATCATTAACAAAATGTTTTTTATTCACTAACCTTGTGATGAAATAAAATAGACTTGGATAGGTCATTGTTCCTTTTGTTGATAAGTTTTCATTGAGATTATATCATTTGATGGTTTCCATTATTTCCTTATTAATGGTGACTCAGAATTGCTTAGTTCTTTTAATACTGTTTCTATTATCCTTTCAGAGTTTTTGAAGTTATTGAGATGTATAATTGGAGCTTGAACTTTGTAGATCTCGGCAACTTACAAAACTTGACAAAGGCAGGGTAATTTCATCCTTTCTGTGGGTTACTCTATAAAGATGAGATTTTTTGTTGTACCAAAAAGGCTCACAACTCTTCTTGTCTTATTATTTGCTGTTTATGTTTTTCTCTTTAATTTCTTAATGGCCAAGTGAAAAGTATTTCACCACATCCTTGACAAAAACTCTATCTAGCTCTTCCAGTAAAGGATTTACAACAACGCAAACATGGACTAACTATCTATTACTATAAAAAATTTGGAGGTCCTTTTCTGGAAATTTTATACTAGTTTGAAGTTAAACCAATGCCAACTGGGTAAAGTCATTATTGCATCACTTTTAGAACATATTAACTTGATCAAATACTTTTCTGATTACTTTGTTGAAGTCGGGCACAACTAAGGTTAACATTGTTGTTTCGTTGGTTAGTGCTAAAAGTAGTTTCCATAACACATTTAGTGATTTCTGCTTTCAGGGATACAAATTAGACCTGCAACTACAGATCTTCAATGGTTATGCATTTTGTGCAAGGCTGCCAGTTGCTATTTGAGGTATGCCTCATCACTTGCTTCATGTTACTTAAGAGAAATTTTTAAGATGATTGTCTCTAGTTAATTAAGACCCTTCTGATTGGCTTAGCTTTTTTAGTAGTGTTTCTATTATCCTTTCAGAGGTTTTCAAGTTATTGAGATGTATTAGCAGAGTTTGGGCTTCGGAGATCTCAGTATTTCACAAAACTGGTCGAATATGCTTTCTGTGAATTTACTTTATAAATATGTGCCTTTTATATATTGAGGCTCACAGCCCTTCTTGTCTCATTGCTTACTGTTTAATGGTTCTTTTTTAAATTCTTAATAGCCATTTAACGGTATTTTACCACATTCTTAACAGATAGCTGATCCGGCATGTTTTTCTCTGGCTCTTCTATTAAAGACCTACAACTAATCAAATGCAGGTAACTCTTGCCAGTTACTAATTATTATTATTAAACTTTGAACATCCATTTTCAAGAATTTTCATACTAGTTTGAAGTTGAACATGCTATACGTAAACTTTTGGCTCTAATGATGTCAGTCCCAACTAAAGCTCACATTGGACGCTTCTATGGTTATTGCTGAAAGATATGTTTCCATAACAAAAAGGTGACTTCTACTTTCTGGGATAGAAAGTATGTAGACCTGCGAGTAGTGATCTTTGATGTTTGTGCATTGCATTCCAGGCTGGCAGTTGCTATTTGAGGTATGCCTCAAAACTTGCTTCCTGTTATAAGAAATTGTTGCAAATTTGAGTTGATTATTGGTGGTTAGTTAATCTGGTTAGGAGCTAACATAGAACCTTGATTTTTTTAAAGATTATGCACCATGGAAATTTCAAATGGTCTACTACCAGCTTCAGCAAGAGGTTGAATGTATTTGCAGCAAGTTCGATATGCTTCATCTTAAATTTTGGATTGTTAAAGGCAAACATACATAGAGGATGGTCTTACATTGTTTTGTATTCTTCGTATCGATTATGATTGGGTTAGCGATTCCTTTCTTTTGGAACTATAGAGGTCAATAACAAAAACTACAAGTGGTCTGCTGATTCAACAGAAGGGAGGGAGAGGAAGGTGTGGAAGAAGACCTCAAACATATCATGTACGCTGGATCTAAAATGAAATGCTTCATATGATTGAAGTCAGATATCGATGATAATATTAGGATTCTTAGTTTTTGTTTCAGGCAGTAGTTCACTTCATAAAATTTCATTTTCTTCTTTCCCATTTAAATTGTTAATTTCGTTTAAACTTTGGGTGAATCGTTTCCCCAAAGGACTTGACATAGTTGGAGCCATCAAGAACAACTGACTTATCTGATATATTATGAATATGTTTTTTTTCACCCAGATGGCTTTCTGTTTTTCTTTTCAGAGTGATTAAAGCTAGCAATTGAGCAAAATTAAAGTAGTTGGTCGTGCTTGCATGACAAACAAGTCCATAATCAAACTAAAATGGTAATTATTGATCTTCAGTTGTGGTACTGTTTCTTCCAGTTGCCACTTGTTTTGTTTCCTGTTACTTGAGAGATTTTGTGGCATATTTGAGTTGGTTGTTTTCGTTTATTTAAGTTACTTCTGCTTCCTGTTTCCTTTTCATTTTCTTTTTCCCACCTGTTAATGTACTCGGATAAATATTTGGATCATTTGGACCACCAAAATAAAATTGAAAACAATGGCACTCCTCCATAATGATATAAATTAACTGAATGTAAATTATTATTCATAATCATTTGTTGAATTTAATAAATAAATATAAACGATAAAGATTGAATCTGTATTGTTCGTAAAACTTTTATTTATTTACACTTATATCTCCAACATGATATTTTATTTGCCGCTTGTCCAGCCTGAATTTAAAAATAAAAATATGTTCCCTCCGTCTTTAAGTTTAAAGATTTAATTTTGAATGGTTTTTCAAGAGTAAAAAATTACTTTAAAAAATTTCACATTAAAATTTAAGGATATTTTAATACAAATGGCAAGGAAAACATGAATCATATTTTGCAGATAATATGATACGTTTTAAGTCAAAATCTATTTTAGTCAGTAACCACTCAAAGAATCAGAGCAGTGGTCGATCAAGTGACCTGCAAGATAAACGGCAACAAAGGTGGGCTAGAATTTTAATCACCGGAGTAGTGTTTTCCTTTTTCCTTTTTGTTTGATTTTGTCCTTTTGCTTCTTGCTGTTGGCTTCAGGCATAAAAGTTTACTCAGAGTCATAAGAAAAGGTTTCAGACAAAACTGGGGCGTAGTGTTACAGCAATTGAGAATAATATGACGGGTAAGTGTATACTTTGACTTTATTTATACGGATACGGGATAAAAATTTGATAATTTGGGTATTTATTATGATATTTATTTTGTATTAAATATATATAAAATACAAAAATTATTATATTATAATTTGTGTTAAGGTATTAAATATGAAATATATTTTATATTTTTTTTGTCAATTTTGAATCATATTATTTAAAATTTTTTTGTGCTACTTTTGTTTCAAGTCTAAAATTATCAGGTTTAGGAGCAAGGTTTAGTAAGAAGAATTCTATAAGCTTTTATAAGTTTTTTTATTTTTTTTATTAAAATTTCAAGAAATTTATTTATATTAAAATTTGAATATATTATTCTTTAAAAAACAAATTTAGTTATTCTTTATTTTATATATAAACATTAAAATTTTAACAATTTTTAATAATTAAAGTTCAATCCTAACAACATCAAGTAAAAACATTTCTATTTAATATTCACGTCAGTAACAGTTTACAAGCAGAACTCTGTGTTAGAGAAGGTCATTCAAAAGCTCATCATCGAGCTGGATTGACTTATGGCAATTCATTTTTTTAAACAGTTTCAATTTTTAATATAAAATTAAAAAAATTAGTTACTGCAATTAACTATTTAATTGTTAATATAAAAAATTTATTATTATTATGATATTTACATTCAAATATATATCATTATTAATTGTAATCTGATTATTATAATATTAAACTCACAATTATAATATAATTAATTAATTTTATTATTGTTTTTAATTTTACCTAAATTACTTACCTAAATGAATTAAGATTCTATTGGATATGTAATAAGTTTGATTACGATAAAATTAAAAATAATAATAATAATTATTATTATTATTATAATTAAAAAAATATTACAATTATGATTAAAAATTAATAAAACATTTATCTTAATTTAATTTTATTAAAATTAATATTTAAATTTAATTAAAAATATGATAAATTTAATCATATCATACAAAACGATAAAATTCAAACGAAGACTAAGCTACTATTGTTAGGAAAATATTCGAAGTTGCTTTTGTTCTTATCTGATTTTTTAAACAAATTATTTTTATCAGAATTCAAGGTTACTAACCTGGTGATTGGTAAGCGCTTAAGTCGTCTTTTATCTTCCACTTCAAATATCCGAAGACCCAAAGGGGTTAGAGAGGACAGGACTTGACATTGACCAGCTGTTTGGAAAAATAATAATGCCTACTAAAAGGAGGGTGCCTTTTCTTTTGAAAAACTTAATTAAAAATAAAAAATTGAGAAAATTAATAGGTGAGCAAAGATTAATTAAAAATTAAAGGGCAACTTATTGGGTTAAATGATAATTTTAAAATTAAGGGGCAAATTAAAGATTTATTAAAAGAGAGAGAGAGAGAGAGAGAGAAATGGGTGTCTTTTTTTTATATTTTAAGCATAATTAATGTTAAATCAGATATATATGCTTAAGCATGGCAAAAAAAAAAAAAAAAAAAACAAGTGCTTGACAGTTCTTATAAAAAATGAGGGATCATTTGTGGCCATAAATTTGTGCTATTTGTTATCATTTGTGCTCTTATATCTAAGAAATACAGAATGTTCTTCCTCAATCAAATATATGCTTTTACCAAGTCCCAATGGCAACTGACAATTATAAATATTGAGGGCAGTTAATACCATCAAGCCATCTCAAATTTTACATCAACGTCCTCTTAATTGGAACATCACTGATGATATCAAACCTTAGGACTTTGATTTTGAAAAACTATTTTTGATATATCTTAGGAGAAAACTAATTGTTTTTATATGCATAATGCAATCGGGCTTTATGTTTGGTAGACTTTACATGAAAGTTCCATGTACATATGTAGTATTTGTTCACTTTTTTCCCCTGCAATTTCCCATGAAATTTCTGTAAAAGAAAATAAGATCCATTAACAAGCTCTTGTACTATGTTTTTTTTCTATTGTGGATTCACTCTTTTCTGTGTTGCAAGATGCAGTTTCCATTTCCCATTAGCCTAAGAATAATTAACACACCAAAATTAACTTTAGCACCGAAAGCAAATGAAGCACTATGCCCTACAACCTTTGTTTTTCTACATGTCTCTTTTGCTTTGATGATGGCATAAGATTCTTTCATCTTTCATTGAAAGTGATGTGGGGTATCATTGCAACGTTCTAGAAAAGTTCGTTAGCACAACGCTTTCATTGAAAGCGGATTAAGCCCTGCCTTCACCACAACGCTTTCTTCATCTTTCATCTTCATCTAATTTCACTGTTTGTTGATTGCAACGACTGCCTTTTTTTATCTTCAAATCCTTCCCTTGCAAAAAAAAAAAAAATCCTTCCCCTTCAAATCGTTTCCCTTGAGTTTTAGCACCCTTCTTCTTTCCATTGTTTGCGTTCACTTCCTTTGATCTTCTTCAAATTTCTTTGTAAAAAGCAAAAAAAAAAAAAAAAAGGCCGATTTGCTGGTTGAAACTCCTCTCTCTGCTTTCCTCCAAGTTATTTTCGAAAGGTTGGCTTCCCGTGAGGTCTTAGACTTCATTAAAGGAAAGAAACTTGAAGATGGCCTTCTGAAGAAACTGAAGCCAACTCTCATGTCAGCTAATGTAGTGCTGAAATATGCTGAAAATGAGCCTATTATCGACAAGGATGTCAGAGCCTTGATTGATGAGCTCAAAGATGCTGTTTATTCTGCAGAGGACCTCCTCGATGAGATCGCTGCTATAGCTCTTCGAAGTAGGATGGAACCCGAGGGTCAAACTAGTATGGCAACGAAGGTAAGCCGCTTTTTCTCTTCTCTCAATCCTTTCGAAAGGGGGATGGAGTCAAAGCTTGGGAAGATCTTTGAGCAACTAGAATATCTACTCAACCAAGAAGGTATCCGCGGTTTGAAAGAATATTGTAAAGGAGAGAAGAAATTTCAAAGATCTCGTCAAACTTCTTCGGTGGATGAATCTGGTGTTTTTTATGGCAGAGATGGTGAAAAAGAAGCAATAATGCAGTTGTTGCACCCAGAAATTCTAACTGAAAATCAGATTGATGTGATTCCAATAGTGGGTATGCCCGGGGTTGGTAAAACCACCCTTGCACAATTTATCTTCAATGACGAGAGAGTGAAGGAATGGTTTGACCTCAAAGCATGGGTGTGTGTTTCAGACCAATTTAATGTTTTCAGAGTAACCAAAGCCATTCTTGATGAGATTACTTCTGGTTGTGATGATAGTCAGAATCTATACCAGCTTCAACTTAGACTAAAGGAGAAGCTGTTGGGAAAGAAGTTTCTATTTGTTTTAGACGATGTTTGGAACGAGAATTATGAAGACTGGGACGATCTGAGAAGACCTTTCACTTCTGGGGCACAAAACAGCAAGATTATCGTAACAACACGTAATGAAAGGGTTGCATCCATTATGAAGACTGTTCAAACTTGTCCTCTTGGTATCTTATCTGATGATGATTGTTGGAAGATATTTGCAAAACATGCATTTGTTGATGGAATTCCAAGCATGCATAGAGATCTGGAGGTAATCGGTGAAGCCATTGCCAAAAGATGCATAGGCCTCCCTCTAGCAGCCAATGCACTTGGAGGTCTTCTGCGTTGGAAAGATGCTGATGAATGGAATGAAATATTAGAAAGCGATTTGTGGGACAAACTAGAAAAGGAAGGTACTACTATTCCTTCATCTTCAAGATTAAGTTATCATTATCTTCCTTCAAATTTGAAGCGCTGCTTTGCATGTTGTTCCATTTTTCCTAAAGATTATGAATTCAAAAAGGAAGAACTCATTCTACTATGGATGGCTGAAGGTCTTTTACAAATTTCCGAAAATGATGGCAACGCGGAAGGTAACAAGCACTTCAAAGATTTAGCATTCAGGTCATTTTTTCAACAATCAACAAGGGACAAATCTTGCTTTGTCATGCATGACCTAATTAGTGATTTAGCTAAATCTATATCAGGAGAATTTGTTTGCAGATTGGAAGGTAGTGGTGGTTCATTTGAAATAACTGAAAAGACTCGTCATTTATCCAATGTTCAAGAAGAATATGATGTGCTTCGGAAATTTGAGCCATTATCTGAGGAAAAAAGTTTGCGAACATTCTTGACTTTAGAAGGTTCATCTCTATTCATTCATTGTGTTACCAGCCAACTGCTTGATTTGATAACAAAATGTAGATGCTTGCGAGTATTTTCTTTGGCTAATTATCTTAATGTCAATGAGTAGCCGAAAGAAATTGGCCATTTAAAATATTTGCTATATTTGAATCTTTCCAATACTAAAATTAAATGTTTGCCAAACTCTTTGAGTACATTATATTATTTGCAAACATTAATATTGTTTGAATGCGGGGGGCTTGTGAAGTTGCCAAAAGACATGTACCGATTGATCAACTTGCAACATCTCGATAGTCGGAAAACAGAGTTAGAAAGGATGCCTGAAGGAATGGGTAAGTTGAAAGATCTTCGAATATTAACAGATTTTGTTTTGGGCGACCAAAATGGTTCAAGGATTAATGAGTTAGGAAAGCTCAAGCATATACGTGGAAGCCTTGCCATTTCAGGTTTAGAAAATGTTGCCCATGCAAGGGATGCCAAAGATGCCAATTTGAAGGTTAAGAAGGACCTTAAGGAGTTGGAGTTGCTGTGGAGTTGTGATCATCGAAATGTTGATAAAAGACGTGAAAAAGAAGTACTTGAACAACTGGAGCCCCATACAAACTTGAAGCGTCTTGTCATTAGACATTATGGAGGTACAAGATTTCGGGAATGGATCGGACATTCTTCCTTCTCAAAAGTAGTTTCTGTGGAGTTAAGCGATTGTGAATATTGTTTGTTCTTTCCACCGCTTGGGCAATTATCATCTTTGGAATCTCTCTCTATTTCAGTGTTTACCAAAGTAGCAACAGTAGGTGATGATAATGGTGGTTTCTACGGGCATTGTGATGCATGGAGTACACCATTTGGATCTCTTAAAACTCTTAAGTTTTTCGAAGATGCCAGAGTGGAAAGAATGGAAGCTTTGTTCGAGAGATGATGCTTTCTCTAGTTTGCAAGAGCTAATCATAAGAGATTGTCCCAAGCTAACCAATTCTCTGCCCAAGCACCTCGCATCTTTGACGAAACTTGTGATCGAATCTTGTGGAAATCTTGATGGCTTGCTTCCTAGGTTACCAAGCATTTGCAAACTTCAATTACGGTATTGCGATGCATTGCAATTGGTGCAATTGCCTTGTGGGCTTCGATAGTTCGATATTTGCAATCAGATTATCAATGATTCCATATTGGAGCAGATGATGCAACACTGCACTCGTCTTGAAAAGTTAACTATGTGGTATTGTTCTAATCTCAGATCCCTTCCTGAAGGTAGTCTTCCTATAACGCTAAAGCAATTGACAATCAAGGGTGGTGTCTTGGATTGTTTCAAAATCCCCTTGTATACGTCCCTTGAATCCTTGCAGATAGCAGGCGGAAGGTGTCATCCCCTAGAATCTTTACCGTTAGGATCATTTCCTATGCTAAATAATCTTTATTTACAATGCGACAACTTGAAATGGATTGGTGCATCATCAGAGGGGCCTCCACCACCAGCATCTCGCATGTCTCAAATCTTTGGTAATATCTAATTGCCCTAATTTTATATCTTTTGAAATTGAAGAGGGATTATCTGCCACCAATTTAACCTCACTTACCGTTTCCTCTTGCGGAAATTTAAAGTCATTTCCAGAGCATATGCACTTCCTCTTCCCATCCCTTGAGGAATTGAAAATATCAACTTGTCCAGAAATAGAGTCATTTCCAAGAGAGGGTTTGCCCTCCAAATTAAAAACTATTTCTATCTTTGAAAGTGGTAAGCTGATTGCGGGCATGACGAGGAGGGAATGGAGTTTGCAAACACTCCCTTTTCTTACACACTTCAAAATCGTGAGTTCAAAATTAGAGATAGTGTTTTCCAGATGAACATCTGCTGCCCTCTTCTCTTACTGATCTTGTGATATGTGGTCTTCCAAGTCTTAAGCTTTTGAACAGCAAGGGCTTTCAACACCTCACCTCTCTTCGCCAATTGCATATCAGCCATCTTTCGGAGCACGATTACTACAAGAGAACTTAGTTCCATTCACTCACATGTGCAAAAGAGTCTTTTCCCGATGAACATCTGCTGCCCTCTTCTCTTACCGATCTTTACATTTGTGGTTTCCCAAATCTTAAGCTTTTGGACGATAAGGGCTTTCAACGCCTCTCCTCTCTCCGCAATTTGTCTATCGTACACTGTCCAACACTCGAATCCATGCCGGCAAAGGGGCTCCCTGACTCTCTTTCTTATATTTGGATTTACTATTGTCCTTTGCTGAGAGAAAGTTGCAAGAAGGGCAAGGTAAATATTGGCCGATCATTTCCCACGTCCCTGTCATTTGGATTGACTATCAACTGATTATATAGCAATACTCAGAAGCCAAATGTGTCAACGTGTCCCTTTGCCATTATTAACGTAATTAACTCAGGATCAGGTACTCCTTCCATTTTCATTTTATTTCATTACTTATTTTACTTTTTTATTTATTCATTTTTCTTTCAAAAATTCTTAATTGATTGAAGTTTGCAGACTATTTTCTCTTTTTTTTTTCCCTTGAATTCTAATGCCAAATTCTTCATTACTTTTATAATACAAGGGTTGACTATTGCTTCAAAATCTTTTATAGCCTTCCTGGATTCTTTTTTCATTTTAAGAATCAGTTGCAAATGCCAGTTTATGATTCTCATTCAAGTGAAGTACCCTGTTGTATGATTTGCTTTAGTTTTGAGATTAATGGCCTCATTTTTCTATCCCAGAATTATCCTCAATACTTGGATGGATTGGCCTCAAGCTCTGCATACTTCATTTGAAATTTTGGTTTCTTAGAGTTGCAATGTTGATGTGCTCAGATTTGACCTCAGTAAAGAATAGGGATTTCAACTCTTTCCTTCTCTTCTTATGGAATCACTGGCAACCGTATTCTTTAATCAGACTAGAAGCACTGTCGTGGTTATCAAGATGATTCATTCAGTCCAAGGACTGCTTCTTTTGAAAGAGCTCTTAGTTTGAAGGTTTTCCATAGTCACTGTGGATCCTAACTTCTATAGGTATGTTCTTTGAGCAACTAAGCCATCTAGATTTCATCAAATTTTAGATTTCATTTGGAAATCTCCATTTGAGAAGGTGGATTTGAATTTCAAATGCAGTACAAATCAGGTGGTAATGCTCATAAATACATGACTTATATAATTCCATTTAAATACGTAGAATTGGTAAATTTCTCTTGAATAGTGAATTCTGGATACATCTTTTTATACTCTATTTAATATAATGACTGCAATCATCCTTAAAAAATTAACAACAAATCAAATTTATCACTCTCTCAAATACTTGTTTCCAAGTGAAAACATTAAGGTTTTAACAAGTCCTGAAATGGCAGGAATGGCTGTTTTCTAAAGACAATAAAGAATGTGGGGCATTCTCTCATGTTGAAGAACGTTAATGTCATAAGTTAATTGACATCTTGCCCTTTCAATGGAAATTGAGAATAATGGAGGCCGAGAAGTTGTGGGATGACCTCGGATTGCAGCAATCCATGAACTGGAGTTGGTTGAATTTGATTTGTTACCTTTTGAGGGACTGCTTTGTGGTCTGCGCATGGTGAAAATTAGAGATTGCAATACTCCCAGCTAAAGGAACTGGTGTAGTGTCATTCCATTGAAGAGGTGATTCACTCTATGCTAGCTGTCTATTGTTTAGTCATCACTGAGGTGTAGTATTTCTCTGTTTTTAAGTAGCAATTTTATAATTTATTTAATTGATGTTCTTCAATCTTCATAAAGAGGAAAATAAGTACTTGTTGAGTATTTTTTTGGGGTAGAACAAATCAAATTTTGAAAATGATTTTGTGGGGTATTGTATTCACTTCAAGCATAATTAGTGTGAATATTGATGATTTTGCTTTTGGATGGAATCAAAACTACAACTGATACTTAATATATGGCAAATTGCTTTACGTTTACAAGCTACCATCACCCTGGTTACTTCTGAGCTTTGTTGCAAATTCTAATTGATGATTGCCATCAAAATGAAGTGCTTCTTCCATAAATTGCCTTAGGCTGGAGGTGCAATAGGTCATTTTTCTATCCCAGAATTATCTGCATGACAGTCTTCGATGGTTCGGCAGCTTTGTGTCAAACTCTGCATATTTCTTTTCAAATTTGGATTTCCTGAAGCAGCAATGCTGATGTGCATAGATTTTAAATCAATAAAGAATAATGACCTTTACTCTTTCATTCTCTTAGACACTCTGACGTCATTGACTACCATATTGTCTAGTTCATTCTAGATGCCCTGTCTTTTTTTCCATGATTCTTTCAGTTCAAGGACTACTCAAACAACTTGAACAGCTGCTCTTAAAAGATTTCTCCACTTGAGGGTTTTCCTGAGTAGCAAGTACGGATCCTAACTTTCATGGGTACGATCTCGTAGCAACTAAGCCATCTAATTTCATGAAACTTTATATTGCATTTATAAATTTACATTTTAGAAGATGAATTTGTATTTCAAATGTAGTAGAACTTATGCGGTAATACTTATGAATACGAGTTGTATAATTACATTCGAATATATGGATTTTTAGAATGACTCAAAGTAATGAATTTAAAATACCTAGATAACAAAGTGAATTCCAAATGCATCCTTTTATTCTCCCTCAAATGTAATGACTACACTCATCCTCGAAAAATTGACAACAAATCAAATTCAATCTCACCCTCTCAAATACTTGTTTCGAAATAACAAAGCAGTAAGTCTATGCTTTTTGTTGGTTCACTCTGCAAACATATGCTTCGTTTTGCGTCATTAAGCCACAGCTAGTCCCCAATCGTGTCTGAACACTGGCTGTTTATTTTCTCTCTTTAAATTCTTTATTGCTAATTCACCTCACTGTTAACAGATATTCAATCCATTATATTCTTCTCTTGGTCTTCCACTAAACGACCTACTGGGCTACAACAAATCAAATGTAGGTATCTTGTGCCACTTCCTTTTTTTTTATTATCAAATTTGTGAAGGACCTTTTTAAAAACTTTTATACTAGTTTGAAATTGAAAAACTATGGCAACTCGATTAAGCCATTAGTACACATTTTTCAATTATTAGAAGAAATTTTGTAACTTGTACCAATACTTTTGTGGTTGCTGTATTGAAGTTGAGTACAACCAAGGCTAATATTGATGCTTCTCTACTTAGTGACTTTTTGTTTATGGGGTACAAAGTAGACCCACGACTAGTGATCTTCAATTGCCGTGCTTCCTGTTCCAGGCTGTCAGTTATTATTTAAGGAATGCCTTATCATTTGCCTCCTGTTACTTCTGAAAATTGTAGTTGATTACTTTCCTTTAGTTGAATATGTGGTTTTTCCTCTTATTTTACAGCCTTGTGAATCCAATTCCTTCTTATGGTTAACCTGGTTTAACTATAAATGTGTATTTAGTTTTTATGATTTCTTGCAGTAGGAGATTGAGGCTAGAAGAGAATGAAGAACTCGGTTTTGGGTAAGAGGTTCTACTTTGAGAGTGGAAATGAGGAAGCTGAAGAGAAAGTGTTTAACAGACGTAAAGGAGAAGATGATGGAAATGTATCTAATGCTTCTGATACATCAGCTGAAAACCAGCAGCAGAACAATCCCACTTCCTATGACACTTCATGGGCTCAAAGCTACTGGTCATTTCCCTTTTCATATGCTTACATGATTGTACTGCTGCTCTGTTTCTCTCTGCTTTGTTCTATGCACTTTCATAAGTTGAGTTTCATAGCAGCCTGGATTTTTGTTCTTTTTTTCAAAGATTCTTTTAGTTAATCTTCAAGAGCTAAGATAAGAAACAGCCACTAAAAAAGTTTTAATATTTACTTTTCTCTTTCTGGGATAGAAATTTTTGTTAATATCATAACTTTGGTTTTCTTTTTTCGATGAGGAGTAGCTTGTGTATTTGGTATGAGGGACAGTATATGGAAGAGTATAAAAATAAAATAAGGTAGATTTAAGCATATCTTTAGAAAAGGAAAAAAGTACGTAAACTATGATTGATGCATTTGTGACAATGATCATGGATTAATGTTGTGTAAAGTTTTGTAGAGAAGAAACTTCTCTATGACAATTTGGCCTACAAATCTATCTCCAATTATTTAATTATGCTACCCTGTTAATATTGGAAGTATGAATCTTTTATGGGCCCTGGTAGAGATAGACTGTTTAAGTTGGTTGATGATTTGATTCTTAAACTATTATGTACAACAAAAATTAGTTTTCTCATTTAATTTTGATTTCTCAATTGTTCTTAATTCTGCTTCTGGATCTGTCAAGATATATTTTTTTCAAGCATACAAATAGTGGCATATTCTGGTATACAAAATTTTGCCTAATTTGTGTAAGTTGAAAAGTCTTGAATTCAAAGTAAACTACTATTATTTCTGGAGAAGGGGATGTGACATTAGCAACTGTGTTATAGAACATTTAATCTGTGTAGTATTAGATAGTTGAATCAAGTGAAAAGGTGATATTTAGTCACTTCTTTGAGACCGCTTCCATTTCTAGCTTCAAATGCTTATGGCTTCTGTTAATTTTTCAGGCAATCTATTGATCTTGTGCTAGTGTACCATCTCCGAATATCAGGCTTTTGGGTACTCCTGCACCTTCTGGTTTAGGCAGTTCATTTCTTTCCAAATCGCCTCAAAGGCATCTCTACTACCAACTGTAGATGATCAAATATAGCCTCAAAGACATAGTTTGCACTCTCTGGTACATCTGAACCATCAAGGAGACACTCTCTGAGAGTAGATGAGAAAATATCTAAGTTCTCCCATGAACATCCGGACCTCCTATGGGCAAGCTGTGCTAAAAGGTTAGTTTACATAACTTTTGTCCATTCTCCGAATTTTACCTGTCATCTAGTTACATAATAAGTTGTTATATTGAATCTGTCTTACAAAATATGTAGGCATGGCAATTCTTACCGACTCATAAATCCTTCCAAAATGTTGGCTTACTTTCAGGTTTGGCTTGTGCAAATATTTTTGCTTTCATTAATTTGAGAAAATTAATATCGTAATGCAAGTATTGACTTGTGCATTTCCACTTTTAGATGTAATCAGATCTACAACTGATACTTAATTTTTGGCAAATATTTTTACAGCCTCCTATCACCCTACTTCTGAGTATTGGTTGCAAATTCTAATAGATGATTTCCATCCAAATGTAATTCCTTTTGCATGAGCTGCCTTAGCATGGAGCTACAAGAGCTCATTTTTCTATCCCAGAATTATTTGAATGTCAGTTTTTGATGGTTTGACAGCTTTGCATCAAGCTCCACTTCATTTCAAATTTGGATTTCTTAGCGAAGGGCCATCAATGTGCACAACTTTCAAATCAATGAAGAAAAACTTCTTTTACTCCTGTCTCCTGTATTGCATGAAATCAGTGACTACCATATTCTCTAGTTTATACCAGCAACACTGTCTTCCTTCCTTCATTCATTCAGTTCAAGGACTACTCAAAAGAACTCGGACAGGTGCTCCTCTGGAAAGATCTCCCAATTTGAGGTTTTTCCTGAGCACTAATTGCGGACATGGGTATGTTCTTTTAGCAACTATGCTGTTTAGATTCCATGAAATTTTGGATTGTATTTTGAAATTCCTCTGAAGAAGTTCGATTTGGATTTTAAATGTTGTAGATATTATGTGGTAGTACTCATTAATGTGTGAGTATATAAGTACACTTAAATACATGGATTTATAGAATGATGCAAGTAGTGAATTTAAATTGCCTAGATAGCAAAGTAAATACCAAATGCATCCTTTTATACTCTCTCAAATGTAGTGACTACCCTCGTCCTTACTAAAATGAAAAACAAATCAAATTCAAATTCACCCTCTCAAATAGTTGTTTCAAAAGGAAGCATTAATATTTTAACAAATCTTGAACTGGCAGGAACTAGGTTTTTCTGAAGAGAATGAGGAATGCAGGGGCATTCTCTCATCTTGAAGAACTTTACTTAAGATTGTCCTAAGCTAATCGACATCTTGCCCTTTCAATGAAACTTGAGAATAGTGAGGGGGGGAAGTTTGTGGATTACCTTCCAATTACAGCAATCCATGAAATGGAGTTGGTAGACTGTGATTCCTTGGCTTTTGAGGGAAATTTTGAGATTGCAACCTCCCAACTCAAGGAACCAGTATCACGTCATTCCTATGACGAGATGGATAGTTCCCTAATTAACGCAGGTATTCTTGTGCGCTCCTTGTTCTTTGTGTTAATCACCTTTCTTTGTTTCATTTCTGTTCCAGTTTTTCCGAACTTAATGTCCCTTTGGTTTATTTGCACCTTCTACTTACGAATTTTTTCCAGGTTTTTTATCCAAGTAAACAGTTCAAGAAATAGAAGCAACATTTTCAGATATGATAAAAACTAGGTAGGTTTTTTTTTTTCTTTCAATTCCAGATTACTAATGGATCAAGAAATTTATCTGTCAATAATTCATCGTTATACATCATTAACTCAACATTTCTGTTCACATGCATCCCTGTGTTAACAAGTGAATATTGTCCTCTGCTTCATGAGAATTTGGACATTTAGTTTTGTTCACTTATAAATTCATCTCGTATATTTGCATGACTTTATAGTATGTTAATTATTTGTTCCACTATATGTTGTAAATGGAAAAGGAGGTGCATTAGACATCCGTTCCCTGAAATGATAAAGGCAATGATTGGTGTCAAGTGCTTGAATAAGAAGCATTAGTTGTTTTCAGATATGAAGAAAACCAGGTAGCTTTTCTTTCTTTCTTTTTTTTTTTCCTTTTAATTCCAGTGTTTGTGATGGATCAAGAAATTTATCTGTAAACAATTGATTATTATACATCATTGACTATTAATGGTGACTCAGGATTGCTTAGTTCTTTTAAATTCCTATTATCCTTTCAAAGTTTTTCAAGTTATTGAGATGTTTCAAAGTTTTTCAAGTTATTGAGATGTATTATCGGAATTTGAACTTTGTAGATCTCAGCAACTTATAGAACTTGACAAAGGCAGGTTAATTTTATCCTTTCTGTGGGTTGCTCTATAAAAATGCATTTTTTTTTTTGTTGTACCAGAAAGACTCACAACCCTCCGTGGCTTATTACTTGCTGTTTATGTTTTTCTCTTTGAGTTCTTAATGACCAAATGAAAAGTATTTCACCACATTCTTAACAGATACTTTATCTAGTTCTTCCAGTAAAGGACTTACAACAAAGCAAATGCAGGTAACTTGTGGCAATAACTAACTATTATTATCAAAATTTTGGAGGTACTTTTCTGGAAATTTTATACTAGTTTGAATTTAAACCTATGCCAACCAGGTAAAGTCACTAATTCACCATTTTTAGAACATATTTTGTAACTAGAACAAATAATTTTGTGATTGCTTTATTGGATTCAGGCACAACTAAGGTTAACATTTGTGGTTTTTTGGTTAGTGCTAAATGTATTTTCCATAGTACAGTCTGTGACTTCTGCTTTCTGGGATACAAAGTAGACCTGCAACTAGCGATCTTCAATTGTTATGCATAAGGCTGCCAGTTGCTATTTGAGGTATGCCTCATCACTTGCTTCATGTTACTTAGGAGAACTTTTTGAGCTGATCGTCTCTAGTTAATTATGACTCTTCTGATTTGCTTAGCTTTTTTTTATAGTGTTTCTATTATCCTTTCAGAGTTTTTCAAGTTATCAAGATGTGTTAGCAGCGCTTGGACTCTGGAGATCTCAGTAACTCACAAAACTTGACAAAGGCCGGACAAATTTATGCTTTCTTTAAGTTTACTCTATAAACATGTGCCCTTTATATAAAGGTTCACAGCTCTTCTTGTCTCATTACTTGCCGCTTAATGGTTCTTTTAAATTCTTAATAGCCATTTAAAAGTATTTTACCACATTCTTAGCAGATACCTGATCCAGTATATTCTTTTCTGGCTCTTCTACTAAATGACCTACAAGTAATCAAATGCAGGTAACTCTTGCCAATAACTAATTATTAATATCAAACTTTGAAGCTGAACATGCTATACAGTTAACTTTTGGCTCTACTGATGTCCAGCCACAGTGTGAGCTTCTATGGCTAGTGCTGAAAGATATGTTTCCATAACGCGGCGGGGGTGATTTCTATTTTCTGGGATGGAAAGTATGTAGATCTGCAACAAATGATCTTCTTTGTCTGTGCATTGCATTCCAGGCTGGCAGTTGCTATTTGAGGTGTGCCTCAAAGCTTGCTTCCTGTTATAAGAAATAAAGTAAATTTGGGTTGATTATTGCTGGTTAGCTAATTTGTTTTGGAGCTAACATAGAAGCTTGCTTTTTTCAAGATTACGCACCATGAAAATTTCAAGCCGTCTACTACCAGCTTGAGCAAGAGGTTGAATGTGTTTGTAGCAAGTTGGACACGCTTCATCTTAAATTTTGGATTGTTAAAAGCAGCCTAGAGGATGATCTTTCATTCTTCGCACTCTTCGTATTGGGATATCGATTCCTTTCCTTTGGAACTTTAGAGTTGAATAACAGCCACAATCGCAAGTCCACACCCAGCAGGCATTTTCATGAGCGTTCTGCAGATTCAACAGATAAGGGGGAGAGGAAGACCTTCTCTCAAACACATTGTGTATGCTGAATCAACAACGAAATGTTTTATGTGATTGAAGTCAGATATCGATTATAATTTCTGGATTCTTGTTTAGTTTTTGTTCATGCAGTAGTTCACTTCATAAATTTTCGTTTTTTCCCTTTTAAATTATTAATTTCTTGTAAACTTTTTGGGTGAATCGTTTCGCCCAAGGACTTTGACATAGTTGGAGCTTTCAAGAACAAATGAATTATCTGATATATTATCAATTTTTTTTTTCATCCGGACGTGCTTTCTGTTTTTCTTTTCAGAGTGATTAAAGGTAGCAACTGAGCGAAATTGAACTAGTTTGTCGTACTTGCATGACAAATAGTGTAAATATAAATATACATCAATAATATTGGAAGAAGAAAAAAAATTCAAAAGATAGTGTAAATAATATTATTAAGTACACCAACAAAATATTAAAATATAAACTAAAAATCTGTTCACTTTAAATTACTTTTTTTTAATTTGCATTATCTTCAACATCTCTTATTATTTGTATATACTTGTAAATTTATGTAATTCAAAATAAAATATTATTTTAGAAATCACAAATTATTTTTTTATTTCAATTATTTTTTTCTTGCCAAAAATCTCATAGACTTTGGTATGATATTACTATTTTTCTATTAAGATAAAATTACATTTGATATTTTTAAATTTTAAAAGATATATATCTAAATGATTAAAAAATTAATTTTAAAAAATATATTATTGTGCTGATTATTGTAAAATAAAAATAAAATAGTGCATATTTATCATGAAATTTTGATCAATATTTTGAAAGTAAATTATTTAATTTCTATATTTGCTTTGACCATTCTAGAGGTCATTTTTTATTTCTGGTACAATAATCTCTATCTTATGTTCATCTAATTTTCTTTTGTTTTCCTAATTCAATAAGAGATCATGTACATACTTTGATTTAGATTAATCAAAAATCATCTTTAATTAAATCTCATATTATGCGATTGTAATTCAATTTAATTTATATTGGTTTATTTGATTGGTTTATCTATAACTAATTTTTAGTGTGAATTAATACTATGTTAAAAATATTGACTGTATTTATAATTTATACTTGTAATACAACCTTTAAGATATATCTAAAAGTATATTTGATAGATAAAGATGATTTTTTCAATTGAAAGAAAAACTTTGAATAATTAAAAAATATTCAAATAAATATATCTTAAAAAATTTTGGATAACCAATGATTTTTTAAATCCATTTATTTAATCCTTAAATAAAAAATAAGAATTAATTTTATTTATTTAAATAAAATATTACAAAAATAATAATTTTATATATTTAATTATTTTAAATCTAAATTGATTTTTCATTTAAAATTTGAAATTTTTGAATAATTAAATAATTTTTAAATATATTTTTTGATAAATAATCTAAAATTAAGAAATATCTTATGTGTTATTATACAGAGAAATTTTATAAAAAAATTTATATGTTAGAAAAAGAAACTATATATCTATGTAAGTACCTATATCAGTAAATCTTATATGATAATTATGTATATTGTAATATATATATATATATAATATCTATTTTAATATTAGAATTATTATTTATATAGATAATGATATTTTTTAATTTCATTATCCAAAATTACTAAAAAAAGTTCACCATCAACCTTTCATATTATATATTTATATATATAATCTTATATCAGTATAAAACTTTTTAATTTTATATTTTTTTAATTATTAATTTCAATAAATTTAAGAGATGTTCAATAAATTCAAAAGATATCTCACCTCTTGAATCTATTAAAATTACTGATTAAAAAAATCGTAAAACTTATTAATTTTACTCTTATGTAAGTTATCATATATAGATGTATATATATATATATATATGTATGTATATGGATCCAATTACACTAATATAAGTGTTACATTTTTTTTTTTTACTTTTGAATCAAAATTTAAATTCATAACATTTAGTCATTTGATTCAATAATAAAAAAATTTATAACAATTATACTAGTATAAGTAGATTCTAGTCATATATATATATATATATATATATATATATATAACTATTGCCAGTGAAAGTGAATTGAGATGATAAAAAAGGCCTAAGTTTGATTTTCATTAATAACAGTCTTTTTTGGATAAATTGTAAATTCAGTAGTTTTTTTCTCTAAAATCAGTTGTCTATTATAACTTTGGACTGAATAAACCTTCTCTCACCTTAAACTTTTTTTTTTTTAAAAGGAAGTTTCGTTGTACATCTTAAATTTTGAAGGAAGAAAACAATGAAATATATATTTTATTTGTTGCGACAAAGAACTTGAACATTAGTGGTCAAATTAGTGTTAGGTTGGGCAGAAACAAAGGGACAAAGTGTTTTTCCTCAAAGTATTTGTGTTTCTAATGAAACTTTTCATGATGAGTCTCTTTGTTTATATGCTTTTTTCTTTTTCTTTTTTTTCTCTTTTTTTCCACTTGTTGATGTCCTTTATTATGCTTTCAGGATAATTATTGGATCATTGGGACTAGGGGTGTAAATGATACATTAGTACTGACAAGTTACTCGGGTTCGATTTGAAAAAAACTTGAATTCGGTTCGATTATTATCGAGTCGAACTCGAGCTCGAGCTCAAGTAACTTGACTTATCGATTTAATCGAATTCGAGTAATCTTATATCCGGTTTAAGTAGTTCGCGAGCCTAATCAAGTTTTTATATTTAAATATATTTTTATTATTTTAATTAATAAAATATTTCGAATCTAATTTCGAGTTCGAGCATAAATAATCGAACTCTTATCGAGTATACGAATCGAGCTTATTTTTACATATTAATCGAGCTTAATCGAGTAAGTTCGAGTAGCTTAAATTCGATCATGAATCGAGTTCGAGTTTCAAAAATAAAACTCGATTAAATTCGAGCCGAATATTGAGTCCCAAGTTGTGAGTCAAACTCGAACTTCTCACTGTATCAACTCGACTCGACACGATTACACCTCTAATTAAGACCACGAATATTAAATTCCAAAACAATTTATTATATTTTATTTGGTCAAATACTGTTACTTTGGACGACGTCTTTTAGGGGATTTACTAGAAAGCTAGGTGTTGCAGTGATTTCCTACTTGAAAGTGGCAAGATACAGAACCCTAGAGGCCAAACTCCGTGGTTGAGCATTTACAGTAATTCTAATTTATATGTAATAAATTAATAATTGATAATTTTATTAAAATTTTTAATAAGTTGGAAAGACACAATTAATTGGAGACCTCCAAACGAAGATGCTATTAAAACATTATAAATTATGAAGAAATAAATCTCAAATCATTGAGTGTTAAATTTATAATGTTAATAATTAAAATTTAATTTTTAACAACCTCATTTGTTAAAATAAATAATATTTTAAACAAAAATCCGATGTCTTTGCCAATTAATTAGCTCACACATTTTTGTTTTATGACTATTGATATATGATAAATAACTATTTAATATGTTGAAAGTCAAATCTATTTGAGTTTATAATTCATTCGTAATAATGTTAAGTAGGTTACTCAAAATTCGAAGTAAATAAGTTATTTAATTTTTCAGGTCAAAATAAGATGTATCAAATTTGATAATTTAAAATAAGTGATTGTAAATTTTGCATTCGAAATAACTTTAACAAATAATCACAAATAAGATTCGACAATAAGATATTTTTGTCGAAAAAAATGAATTTTAATCAATTGAACTAATTATTTATTGATGATCATTCGTAATGTTAAATCAAGATAAAAGATGAACTATAGTTTTGTCATTGTAGAAACCACTTGCTATCATTGACCAAAAAAAAATCATTATACATAGGATATAAATTTAAATTCAATTAATTTATATAAATTATTTTTAAAAAATTGATATATAATATAATAAATTTTTAATTTTTTTAATTTTCAAATTATGACATTTTTTATAAATAAAACACTATATAAACATGAAAAAACTGAAAAATAGATGATTAAGCTGAACAATAAAAACTTAAAATGACATTCGCTTAATTTTCATAACAAGTTAAAATAAGCAACTCACTATCGAAAGTTTGATCCAAATGGTAAGCCTTATTTTATTGGGATTTTGGATTTTAGGTTTAAGCCTCAAGATGAACGCATTGTGAGGCTAAACGTACTCCTCTCTATTGAAAGCCAAACACTTCGTATTCAATGCTTCCTATAGCTTCTTTAAGTTTATATTTTTCTAAGTTGGTGGCTTATATTCTTTAAAATTTTAGTTTGAATATAGTTTCAGTACAGAGACAAAAAAATTTTCATTGTGGTCAATAATTGTGTAGTATGTTAATATAAAGTATTAAATTTTTAATTTTAATAATTATAATTAATTTTTTATTATTTTAAATATAAAAAATAATTTAATTGTTTTTATAGTTGAATTTTATTATAGCCAGTACCATTCTATCTAATGATTCAAAGACCATATTTCAGTAATTAAAATTTATCTTTCGAGTCGTAACTTATTGACTACAGAAGTTTTTAGGAAGATATACAGAGTTGATTTTAAATCAAACCTTCTTTTTTTTTTTGTGCTTTACCTCCTTTGAAACAAAAAAATAATTAAAATTCGATCTTTTAATTTATTTTAAATTCTTTGAATAAGAAAATTGGATATAAAAATATATATATTTTAATAGTGTAAGATCATACGTAGAAAAAAAAAAAGAAACTATTTATATAATATAACATCGATTATAATATAAAAATAAAAACATGTATTTGACAAGAAACTACTTATAATTCTTAAAATTTTATTTTTATAAATAAATAAAAAATCAATCAACTGATTATAGAAGTTTATTTTTCTAACCTTTTGCATATTAATTTAGCCCATTATTCCAATTTTTCTTTTAATTATTTTGACTTGTTTGATTTTTTTCTTTTGTATGTCGTAGGCTTCTAGCGGACACTCACACGTACAAAAGATTTCCGACAAAACTAAACTTGGGTTTTTAAGATTTCTCCTTCCCACTAAGAAGTAAAGATATTCAGACATGGGCCCACCACTTTTGGCCCCCACGTGTCATGTCCCATCACGTCCTCTTCTTTGACGAAAATCACATCAGCTTAGTAAATGCAGAAAAATTAATAATGCAACATATAGGTTTACAATCCTTGAGAATAATATAATGGGTAAGTTTATATTTTGGCTTTATTTATATGGTTAAGG